TCTGATGACGGAGAACTTAACACTGTTCTAGGCTTCTTTTATTGGTAATATCCTCCGAAGTTCACCAACCAGGGGTGATCCTATAAATCGGACAGACCCCGAAGTTCTAGAGTTTAGCGCGTGGAAACCTTAAGCTTACGGCAACCAAAAGGGGCGCTACGCCGGAGATTCTTTCCACGGGCTTTGGCTGTGTCACATGTCACAGTGCAGCCTTGGACTAACTGTTTAGAGGACACCCTATTTGCGCTTACCCAGCTGGCACATTTCCCCATTATGAATATATCTTAGTTAGACACCTAGAAATCATACAAGAACTTTACTCTCCTATCTTGCCAGCTTATATTACTATAAGTTATGTATCATGCCCGCTCGACCTACCAACATCTGTGCCCTTTGTGATGCACCAGTATGAGTCCGACCCATGAACCTGGCTCTACTGAAAAGTCCAGAGAACCATAATATCTAGACAGTTCTTTTGAACGTGTGTGCTACTTCTTACTGACTGGGACTAGATCGTGCATGCTATGACAATTAATCTGATTGATATGGGCCTGCGGGCCACTACTAGTCTGGAAGATACCAAGTACTGAATAAGTACAAGTTATCCCTACATCAACCCAGTCGCCTACCATCTCCTGAGAAGCCTATACGCATAGCAACATAGCCAAGGTATTCTGATAGACCTGGCCATGAAAAAAGACCACTACCTCGGGGTCTCTATCGTCTTCTGCGAACGAAGGGAAAGCCTACTCTTCTATGAGAACCGTATTAAGACTCCTGATTATGATGTGCCGAAAGCCGGACTTACCTACCTGGCCCATACTTGAGGTTACTACTAGCCAGACTTCTACTGCCGATTGCAGAGTGACCTAAACCCGAGGTTCTCGACCCGCTTTTAACCATAGTCAACAGCAATGTGCATGTTGATAAATCAGCAGAATGCTCCGACAATGTCAGTTCTGCTCCTTCTCAGCTCCTCATAGATTCGAAATTCAATGTGGATGACTAGGGCTCATGGGTGATGTCGCGTGTAAGACGGACATTATCTTGTGGTAGATCTTTCCAGACGGTGTATGAATCAAGGTCGGATTTCCCAGTATTCAAACCGACATAATATTCAGCTGCTCCGAAAAGATCTGGCTGTGAGAAAAGTGACCCTAATGTTAGCAAACATCCCATCCGAATGGTGCCCGCGAGCAATATCAGGACAATATTCGGACCAGGACCGCAGCTAACGCGAAGAGCAGACCGATATCGGCAGCTATTTCGTTCGGGCTCAAGTCATCGATGGCATACACCTGCTAAAAGCAAATTTTCTGAGGGCGTCAGGCTGCCGGATGGCGATAAAGAATGAATAGAGGTAATATGTACATGGAGGAAAGTCAGTCGCGGGCTTCTGGCTGGGGGGAGGGGCGGCTAGGGCATATACTGCCATTGACGGAAAGCATAGCCGCAAGAGGGGAGAGACAAAACCCGCCGCAATTCTGGAACCAGTATCCAATCGCCTCAGGGCGAGCACAGCCTCAAGACTGGAAAGACTGTACGGCTGAGCTGCTAGACCGGAATCATTCGAAACCAGCCAATACTGTCCATCCAATGACCATAATGATCGTCGACGTGCACCTGTTGGTGCCTGCCAGCGCCGCATGGATCATGGTTCGGGCCTTGTCTAATCCCCACTACAAGTGGATACTTGCGGGCGATTCCCCCTCATCACATCAAAGAATCGCCTACACTAACAACCATCCCAGCATGTTAGTGAGAGACAATTGTCGCACGAACGAGTAGTTAGCACAATGACAGATACAAGGGATGCCTGCCACTTTGTCTACTTATTTCCACTGTCACCCCGCGCTGCGTCCATACTCCCTCTATCAATTCAAACCACCATCTCTCTTATTTCTAGCATATCCTAACAATCCCATTCCAACCCAACCTCCATAAACATGTCCACTGAAAGCCACAAAAGCACCTCACCATCCGGTGTCCTCCTACTAGGCAGCATCCCCCTCTCCTCAACAGAAGAAGTCTTCCACAAGATCCCCACCGCACTACCAGCCCGACTCTTCTCCATCCCCGACGGCGAAACCGGCGTCCGCGACAACTACATCCGCTGGCAAGTCGACAGCTTCCCCAAGGAAGCCATCCACCAATTCCTCGGAGGAACCGACCTACCCACCAACCATCCCGGCTTCACCCTGAACGACATCAAGCCAACCAGATACGACACAGTCGCACTCGAATCCTACCAAACCTTCCTCAAGCACCGAGACCAAAAGATCATCTCCTCGGGAGTCCGCTTCCAAGTCTCCCTCCCCCTACCCCTAAACTGCGTACAGGGCCACACACGCGCAGACCTCCACGCTCAGCTAGATCCTCTTTACGAGCAGCGCATGATCGAATCAGTCCAATCCATCATCCAGAACATCCCTGCCCACGACCTCGCCCTCCAATGGGACGTCTGCTTCGAGGTCACAGCGCTTGAGAACGAGCGCGGCCGGCTCCCGGACCCCTTCTTCAAGCCTCATTTCTCGCCAGTGATGGAGGGCGTGCTAGAGCGTATCCAACGCGTCAGCAACATCGCTCTCATCCCCGCTGAGGTTCCACTTGGATTCCACCTGTGCTACGGGGACCTAGGTCACAAGCATTTCGTCGAGCCAGAGGATCTCGGTCTTCTAGTCGAGTTAGCGAATAATATCTTCGAGCGGATTCAGCCTCGTCCGGTTGATTGGGTGCATATGCCTGTGCCTAAGGATCGGGATGATGTTGCTTTCTTTGAGCCCCTGAAGGGGCTGAAGATGGGCAAAGATACCAGGTTGTATTTGGGGGTCGTGCATGCCTATGATGAAGAGGGTACTCGCCGGAGAATCCAGACGGCTAAGTTAGTCGTGTCGGACTTTGGGGTCGCGACTGAGTGTGGGATGGGGCGGACTCCAGCTGAGGAGCTGAACAGCATTCTGGAGATATCTAGAAATGTTGCTTCGCCGGTGTGGTTATAGATTTGTGCCGTGTGGATGTGGGACTTTTGTTTGTTTGGGGCTTTGGAGTACCGTGTATAGAGCAATGAGAAATACCGTCAATTTCTGTTTGGTATGAGGTGAACTATGCGATGAGCATACTTGGACATTAGGAATCTTTCTTGTTGAAACATTTGTGGCACCCGTTTGCTGAGTGGCCGACGATATAGCGTTTTGATCTACTTAGCAACATGCTGTGTTGACATTTTCGGTTGATGGCCGCTAATCATTGCCGTAGCTCAATCTCACCCGATGTAAGGGAGCGCACAAGATCTACGTAAATACAAGGAGTGCCCACCAAGAGCGCACAATGTCCGCTTTTATTCAGAGTCACAGCGCAGCTGGTTCTCATGACTATTTTCATATTAGGCTATTGGTACAATGAAAGAATGGCGTTAAAGAACACCACGAGACAGCTTGCTGTCGTTCTCAGGATATCTCAATCCGCGTCCCTCGAAAAGAAACAAGACGGAAGATTAAAGAGTAAGGGAATCCAGGAGGTAAGACATTAACGAATTGGACCGGCCATACATCTGTCGTACTACACATGCTTCCGATCAGCAAGAAACCATTCCATGACGGTGCGGAAAACCCCCTTCGCGCCGCTCTCAACCACATCCCCATGGCAAGGAATCAGGCGATTGAAATCCCACTTGTCAATTCTGCGGATGGACTCGGTGAAAGCCTGCCGATCTCCACTGGACAGGACATACCAGACGAATCTCTTCTGCCAAGTCGCAGGTGAAGAAGCGGACATCAATGGAGAGACCATCTTGGTGAAAACACCCGACGTGGCGCTCTCTTGAGTCCTGGAGTACTGCTCCCTCGCAGGCAAGTTGAACAAGAGATCCGCCTCAATGAGCGAGCGGGACGGGCGATGGTAGAAGACAAGTTCGCGCGAAGGGTGGCCATGCACATATTCCGTCTCGAATTCCGCGTCAAACTCTTCCGAGATCTTCTGTTTTCCATTGGCGTCCTTGCGGAAGACGTGTTCGAAAGGTGCGGAATCCTTGGTTTTGGGGTTGGACTGGCGCTTTTCCCAGAGCCCTTCGGGAGCGATAATGGCAGCATCAGGGAATGCCTCCTTCCAGGCGGTCAAGTGAATATGATGCTCCATGTCCAGAGCTGCGATGTATTTGACGCTGCCTCCGAGACCGGTGATGGTATCACGCACTTCTTGAGTCAAATTAACAGGAGAGAAGACAGCGACGGAACCGGTTTCCATTTTGACTATTTTCACCAATATGATAAGATACCATTAGCATGACATGCGCACATTAGATTTGAATTACAATGACACCGGGAAAGTGTGAGCCGGGGTCAAAAAAGAGGAAATGAAGTGCGAACCAAGAGTCCCACGTCCACCAAACTTGAGCCGACCGAAACGCGCAAATGGCAAGCTTAAGGTAATGACGTTGGCAGTCACATTGCGGATCACCATGACCTCTGAAGGATTGGCGGGGAAGAGCTGGGGCGCCATGATGAATGTTGTGCGTCGGAGCAGCGTGTTGGTGAAACCAAGCTGCAGACGGGTGAAAGACCACGAGAGTCTAGTGATGTGAGGGTGTACAAAAGAAGATAAGGTCGCGATCGATCGGGGACGAGCAGTAGTTCTGCCTGGGGAATTCACTCGGGCGTAGAGCCTATGACGTAAGGCACCCAGGGCCCGTCCTCCTGTTCCCGCAACCAGCAGGAACAATCTGGTGTTACGTGCCTGGTGAATATTTCCGGAAGGTGCTAGCTACTATCATTTACTAGCTAACTCCAACTTGCCACTCCTCGAGGAAACTCGGACCATTAATTCTTTATGCGTCTCCACATAAGCTGTCAACCACATGCCAATTGTAAGTTATTCAGCTTGGGTGAGGTTTGAATTGGAGATAGAGTTGGGAGCTTGGCTGTCTTCGAACCAATGACAATTTGGCCAGCAGCACTAGTTACCCTCCAGGGACCAGTATTTATCCCTCTGCTGGATGCAAAACCTTGGGGACAAGTAGACTAGTTGTGGATCACACTCTGTATCTAGTTCATTCAGGACACCTATACGCCGTGACAAAATTCATGCTCAAGATTCATACCAACACCGTTCAAACCAAATGGGTATCACGTTATCCACACATAATCAAAGCACTCCCACAGAATATAAACAATACAGAACGCACTTCTCCGAACCCAATCTAGTCATCTGAAATTAGCCTTGCCAGGATTGTGCTGTATTTTGCGTCTCTTCCTCCCGATGAGGAATGATGGAGTCTTTGATGTCATAGACTTGGATCAACTCTTGCCAGGTCTCAAAGTCAAGTGTGAAAATGGCCTGACGCTTCTTGATGCCCTTTCTCTGGGCCTCACTAGGCGCATGAGGCTTTGCCGAATCTGTTTGAGAATGGTCAATTAATTCCTCATATCATGTAGGGTACTGAGCAGGACTCACGCAAAGTGGGCAAGCCCCGGCTATCCACCGCGATTCCAACCAAGCCGTCCCGGACCAAAAAGCTAACGTAGAATAGATTTTCCACACTTTGTCCGAAAGAGTGCGGGTTAATGCAGAATTGGAACAGAGGAACACCTCCATCATCGGCCACATTGTTCCTTGCCATCACCTCTTGCACCGTATCTTCGTCGGGGTCATCTGGCAACTGCGACAATTCCGCCTCTACCACATCTTGTCCGTTGTTTTGGGTTCTAGCCAAAAGTCGATTGATGCTGGCACACATAGTCGTCAAATTCGATGTTTCTTGCCTGTCCAGATCTTTTTCTTGCAGTTCTTGCGGTGCAACGGCCCGTGCTGGGTCGATTCGTTCACGGGCTCTTCGTACAGGTTGCTGCCGGACGCGCTTCTGTACAGAAAGCGGTCCCAGCAGGAATCCAGGAACTGACGGTCGGGCATTACTGCAGAAACAAGCAGCGCGCCCGAGCCAGTCCCAGTTCATCGCATCACCCTGATCCTCGTCGCTATCGTTGGGGTCCATCTGGCTCCTTCCGATACCCGTGCGCCGCCGTTGGGTGCTGGAAGGCATCGAAGCTTGGGAGTCCGTAGGCGCCCGGCGCATGAAAGAGATACACTTAGAGACAAACTCATCCACATCTATCCCTGCACTAGCATCCCCCAGCACCAACTGTGCCGTCTTTTTGTATGACAGATCTGCCGCTTGAACAAGCAGCCGTGAATCGATGGTTGCGTCAGAAGTCTGTTTGACATTCTCGAAGATGTCGTTCGCTTTCTTGATGGTGTCACGCAGGCCATGGTTGCCAGCCTGTAGATATTCATTCCTAGAGTCTACCATAAACCATGTCAGACTCGGCGGCAAGATACAGAGCCTGAGTCAGCCTTACCGTTGAGGTCCCGCGTCAAATCTCTGAGGCCCTTACGAACTTGTCGCCTCTCTCGGTGGTCTTGATCCGGATCGTAAAACTGATTGACACTATTCCGTGTCGCCTGCGACGCTACTTGAGACTGAGTGTCTTGCACGTTAGAGTCTCTTGCTGAGAGTCGAGCTCGCTTGGCTCTACGGGCGTGTGCCATCGTTTGCGGCTGGTTTCTTTTGGTGTTCCCTGTTGCACTTGAACTATTCTCCTTATCGGATGGCGATCCTTGCGACACGGGGTGGTTCGAAGATGTAGAGGAAACAGAAGGTGCCATCTCTAGCCGCCGGGCAGATATTCTGCGACAACACACCGTTGGGGAGGAGGGGTTGACAAAGAACACGACTGGGGCCGCCTCAGGTCGAGTGGCTAAAGGGTAGTAAGACAAAGGACAGATACAAAGAAGGTCCTGAATGAAAAGGAGGCATAAGCAAATGCGTTGCAAATCAGCATGAGCTACGGGCTCATTGAGTCCCGATAGCAACCCGTGATATCTTTCTCTCCGGGATATCTCTTTCTTGGTCGCCCAACACAGGCAAATCCACCGAAGCGCGCGTTGAACGCGTGGTGCACGTGATCCTAGAGGACCCCGCGTCATTGCTAGCTGTTAGCCTGTTGCCCCAGGCCTCCCGCCAATCAGCCGCTGCGGCTCCATTGGGTCTCCGGCCGGAGCTCCCCGTCCAATGTCACCCGCCGCTCACTTCCCCGGCAACCCAGTCCCTAGTCCTTATTTCATACTTGCAATGAAGGGTGTGTGGTTACATATACGGTGGACACAAATGGCCCTGAGCTAACGATGGAGGCCTTTACCTTTACTGTGTCCACTCAGGTGGATTTTCCAATTCATGTGAAGATGTATGTGTGCCTTGGTTTCCCTTGATCCAACAACAATCGAGCAAGTTGGCTAACTTTGGATGGATGCAGTGGCTCATTGGAAGGGAAGCAGAAACAAGCGCCTTTCTCCCTCCTTTTGAAACATCCAGAATTGCGTCACATCGGTTCCGCGCAGAATCCCGTCTCCGACCTCTTCGTGACCATCCAACTATGGTCAGATTCCAAAGCCTTGGGCGTGCCTTTGCAGACCTCATATAAGGCCTTCAAGTCCGCTCGAGCCTGGAATGAATGGCTGCAGCTGCCGATATCAATAAAAGATGCTCCCCTCAAAAGTCAACTGGCCATTACCGTTTGGGATATCTCACCGTTTGGCGGCGAAGGAGCACTCGGACACTATGTGCCTTTTGGCGGAACGACTATACCGTTATTTGACGGAGAAGGAAAATTGAAGATGGGCAGGCAGAAATGCAAGATATATCGTCACCGAGCTGCGGACGGTTTCTCCGCAACGACAACGCCGTCAACAGCGCCTCCGAAACGTCGGAAGAACAACGCCCCAGATCCGCTAGGCCCATCGGAAGAGGAGATGGAGCTAGAACGCATCGAAGTTTTGATCAAGAAGCATGAGATGGGGGAAATACCACGCATCGACTGGATGGACCAACTGGTCTTTCGCCAGCTGGAAAGGCTGAAACTCAATGCGGAGGAAGCTGCAAGGAAACGGGCCTTACGTCTGAAGGCTACGAAACAGAAGCGCTCGGAGCATGGCGGGGATGAGGACGACTCAGATGATGACGAAGTGGACGATGAGAACTTCATTCTCTACGTGGAGTTCCCGCGCTTTGATCACCCCATCGTCTGGTCCGATCATGAGTACCCAGCTCCTCCAATGTCATCCTACTCCCAAGGTGCGCCTGCAAATGCAAATCCCGCACTAAAGCCCGTACCGGAAGTTCGCTTTGGTCCGGGAATAGAGGGCGCGGATGGTGGCGGTGTCATCAGAATATACGACCCTGAAGTTGGTCAAACCGGTAATCCATGTGAAGACAAGCATCGGAGACTGATCCGTAGCCATCGGACGGGCATTATGGATCGTGATTTAAAACCAAATCCCAAGATTCGCGATGAACTCAACGTAATTCTGTCATACGAGCCCACGCAGGATCTCACCGCTGAGGAGAAAGACCTAATTTGGCGATTCCGATACTACCTAACCCGTGAGAAGAGAGCGCTCACTAAATTTGTCAAGTCGGTCAACTGGAGGGACGTTGGTGAAGCGCATCAAGCCGTCGAGATACTGCCCAAATGGACCGAAATCGATGTAGACGATGCTCTTGAGTTGCTTGGACCGACTTTCGATAATCCTGCAGTTCGTTCATATGCAGTCGAAAGACTACGCAAGGCTGACGATGAAGAACTACTTCTTTACCTGCTACAACTTGTACAGGCTCTGAAATATGAAGAACACTCTCACGGTGATGTTGACGACGCCGCCCACGATTCGTCTTTGGCCAATTTCCTTATAGCCCGCGCTGCGAACAATTTCAAATTGGGCAACTACCTACATTGGTACCTTATGGTTGAATGCGACGATGCAGGGCCAGGAACATTGTCAGCACAACGTAGACTCTTCGCACGCGTGGAATACTACTTCATGGCAGAGCTCGAGAAAGTCCACCCAGAGCATCGCAAGACCCTCCTGCGCCAAGGTGAACTGGTCACTATACTCACAAAGATCGCCAAAGACGTCCGGTTCTCGCGCGAGAACCGGGTCCTCAAGATCGAACGACTGAAGCAGTGCCTCAAGGACCCGAAGAACGACATGCTACACATCGACCCTCCACTGCCACTGCCCCTGGACCCGGAAATCCAGGTCACCGGGTGCTACCCGGACGAAGCAAATGTCTTCAAATCCTCTCTCTCCCCTCTCCAAGTCATGTTCAAGACCTCCGACGGACGGAAATTCCCCATCCTGTTCAAAATTGGCGACGACCTCCGCCAAGACCAACTTGTCATTCAAATCATCATCCTTATGGATCGACTCCTCCAAAAGGAGAACCTCGACCTCAAACTCACCCCCTACCGCATCCTAGCCACCAACTCTACCGCCGGCGCCGTCCAATTCATCCCCTCGGCCTCCCTTTCCGCCATCTCCGCCAAATACAAATCCGTCCTCGCCTATCTCAAAGCAAACAACCCAGACGACAGCGAGCCCCTCGGCGTCCGCAAAGAAACAATGGACACCTACATCAAATCCTGCGCCGGCTACTGCGTAATTACCTACCTCCTCGGCGTCGGCGACCGCCACCTCGAGAACCTCCTCCTCGCCCCGGATGGCCACTTCTTCCACGCCGACTTCGGCTTTATCCTCGGCCGAGATCCCAAGCCGTTCGCACCCATGATGAAACTCTGCAAGGAAATGGTCGAGGGCATGGGCGGGACTACTTCTCCCTTGTATCTCCAGTTCAAGCAGTATTGCTTCACGGCGTATACTACGCTGCGCAAATCGGCGAACCTCATCCTGAACCTGTTCAGTCTGATGGTCGATGCGAATATCCCTGATATCCGGGTCGAGCCCGATAAGGCTGTTTTGAAGGTGAAGGAGAGGTTCCATCTGGAGATGTCGGAAGAAGAGGCCATTCGGCATTTCGAACAGCTTATTAGTGATAGTGTTAATGCTATCTTTGGGGTTGTGATTGATCGGTTGCATGAGTTTGTGCAGGGGTGGAGGGCTTAGGTGGCTGGCATTTTTAGTGGAATCCTAGCTCATTGTGCTGTTTCTTTAAAGGGGAAGGAGTTTTATGGCGCATACCACCGATTAAATGGTTCACTGGTGAATTGATTGATACCCTGCTTCGAAGCGGTGGCCATGTCTATAATAATGGTAATATATTGATAGACCTTTAGACATTTTCCGTCCCTCATTGTATCTGTACTTTTATGACCAGCTATCCATCTCTTCGCAACCCTCCTCTATACCACAGTGTCTTGATCACTTCTCCCCATGATGTCGTGACGGACCTCCAGCCTCCTCATCATTACGACCCCAAACCCCCAACTCAACCCACTCATTCCCAGTCCCATCAACCCCACGTCTATCTCCGAGATCACCTCCCCCCAAGTCAACACCCTGGCCTATCCGCATATCCTCAGTCACGGCAGTATCAGAACCAGATTGATCATGTGAAGCAAAAACCCCTCCCGTCTGTTCATGTTCACTGCGCAACTTCGCCTCGGCGTCTTCGTCATCCTCCGGCGTCCCTTCTTTGCATGCCCATGCATCTACGAACCTCAGGACCTCGCGGGGCCACCAGCGCTTCATTATGAGAAGACGGAATGGAACTAATAGGACGATGAGCACGGGGAATGCGGGTGCGCCACGGGTGAGGGTGAGGATGAAGATGGCTACGGTTATGATGATTTGGAGGATGGTGTAGAGGTGGATGGGGATGTATGATGGTGTTGGGGGTTCTTCTCCGGAGGTGATTGGTTGTTGTTGTTCTTGTTGTGGGGCAAGAGATGGTGGGAGGGGAGGGAGCTCGGAGGGTGGTGTGAGGAGGTAGAAGGTTCGGTAGAGGATTGGGCTGGTGTTGTTAGTGGGGTTTGATTCTTTTAGTGTGGTACGGATGGTGGACGGCTTACTTGACTGATAGGCTCTGCTCGCCCATGAACATGAATAGCCCGGCTAGGACGCTTGTTGGGGTCAATCCGAGCACTTTCATGAAGGGCGGACTGACGAAGAGGAGGATGACGGCTGAGTGGAGGAATGCTGACCAGCGCTGTTCGTAGACGCGCTTCACTTCGTATGTTTCGAGCTTTTCTTCTCCGTCGACGGTGATTGTGCGCTGCTCCTTCTCTGTGTGCATTAGGGATTCGGAGTGGAGGGGAGCTTGGGGGAGAAGTCCGTTAGCAGGGGGTATTCCTAGAATGCCGCATAGTGCTGTTGTAGTGCCTAGGAGGACGATGTCCCAAGCGAAACCTCCTGGTTTCCTGGTGCCGTAACGATCAATAGTGCAGATGATTGAGCTGACTTCGTGATCGAAGAAAAAGAGCACGGTGATGATGATTCCGGGAAGGATGGCGGCGAACACCCAGGATACAGGGAGATGCCAGAACTCGACGAGGAACCTATCCCGACTGGGAGATGTTGGTTTGAATGAGGTGCTGACGGGGAGTGTCATCTTGTCCAGATGGGCTAGTTCACCAACGTGGGGAAGCCCGATGAAGATGATGATGGAAATCGCAGCAGCGTACTCGGTTAAACCCATTCGGATATATCGGTGGAATAGGGGGCGCCAGCTCTCAGCCGTAGATAGGAATATCGCGAGCAGCATCGTTCCCACAGCTCCTATGATAGCGTAGAGGAATGCTGCAAAGGATAGGCTCTCGTGTGCTCTTTCAAGTTCTTGTATAGCTTTATGGAAGTAGATAATGCTGTTGAGAAGCGAGAATATCTCGGTTGCAAAAGTGGTAACGTAGCGCATCGTCCAATCGTGAGCGTTGACTATAGCCAGGACGTAGTGAAGCCAGGCAGAATGGATCAGAGACCAGGCCATGAATGGCAAGAATGGTATCTGGTGAATACCTGTAAGTCATTACTGGCACAACTTTCTTTTTACAGGATCTCACCTTGAAGACATCCTCGCATAAAGAATAGATGTTCTCAGCAAG